AAACCACTTTGGAAACGTATGCTTGACCTGTGCAATCGAACCAAACGCCCCGCTATAGCCAGATCGCCATATCAAACCTGCACGCCCAGCCTCCATTCCCGTGGTTGTCTCGCCCTCAACGGGGGACTCTAGCGGGATGGTGTACTCATTCCTGGGCTCAGGACTGTGTCAGAAAGCAATAAAGGCTGTTCCGTCCTGGAGATCTCCATTTATGGCAACCCATTGTCCCTTTTGTGGCGAGGAGTAAACAAAATTTGTTTACAATGGAATTGGGGGACCTCCCACCCCCCGCGGATGGTAAGCCAGCTCTTGGTCTGGATCTTTGGTCGACTGAGTCATCCTTATGCCCCGGGGTTCACCTCTGCCACTCAGGGTGTCCACAAGTTTTTCATTCGGCCCCTGTGATTTTCAGCCACAAGGCTGGAAAAGATACGTCCTGCAAACCTCGGAGTCAATCTTGTTGCTGAGCTGTCCAAACTGATCCCCTGCCAAAAGTCGACAACTTTCAGTGGGTGAAATGACAAACAAAAAAGCAAGGAAACGGATGGCTGGGAGCCAAGGTCGTTGGATGAAACCAAAAAAAGACCTGACTGAACCTGATTGAGACGAAACCCAAGGCCTGCGACTAGAAAAAGTATAACAAAAAAAAAGCGTGCCGGGCGCGCGTGGACTGCGAGCATGCGACCCGCGCAGTGCCTTTGAGGTCCAGGACATCTACCTGAAGACACACGAGGTGCCGAGGCGCCGTGCGATGTCTGGGGTATCCCCTTGCAGGGGGAAAGTAAGTGGAGGGAAACCTCAAAACCCAGCCCCCAGTGTACATGGTGGTTAAAAAAAGTGATCCATCCCGAGTAGTGTGGTTACTGACCCTCGAATCAAGTCCCTTGAGTCATTCTGGAGTCCCTGGTTGCAGATTGGAGTCCGTCCTTTCAACATTAGCAGACAAGAATGCCGGTTGCAGACGCTTACAAGGAACAAGTCAACCCTGCAAGTCTTACATTCCAGAGAACTGGTTGAGGACAAGATTTCATCAAACGCATACTTCAGCAAGATCCTCCCAAAAAGGAGGAGTCCTTTTTTTTGTGGTGTGAAAGGCGTCGAAGCAAGTGCAAGCGTGCAGAACAGTTGGCCAAAGGACCTGGCCAAAACATCTGTGATGCAGGGGGCGTAACTTCGGCCCGGTCTCGAGGTCGATAGCGAATCAGGAAGAAAACTGTTCATTGTTCAGAAAGCACCAAAGGCGAACCGAGGTTCAGCACCCATGAACAACTCAGAAGAACTCACCAGCTTCTGAGCAGCGACCTCAGCAAAGCAATTGGCAAGCCGTCCTGCCTTCCCCCTTCCCGCTTGCATGAATATCTTCACGTGATGCCCATGTCGAGAAGCCAGCCAGTGTGAGCCGCTTTGACCAAACCGGGCGGTCCTTCCGCCCGAGGAGTGACTCTTGACGCAAATCTCGTCCGCACCGAAACCCGAACCCCGCCTTCACTGAGGAGCAGTCAGCTGGGCGCACCGGGAATGTCAGAGGCCTCGGCGACAAAAACCGCCCAAAAAGCCGCACCAGGACGGTTGGACGGGAGCCTGGCACCGAAAGGAGACAAAAGTTGGCGGGATTCGAGGCTTGTCTTTCGAAAAGGAGCTCAACAATCAGGAAGAGTGGTCAATCATATCCGTCACGCGTGCCGGACAAGAAGGACAATCTGGCTTATGTCACAATAATCCTTTTGATGATGCAAATAAGGCAAATCAGCCAAGGTAAGAAGAGGCCGGTGCTGTTCAACCCAGCCGCGTTGCACAAATGTTCGTGTTATGCAGCCAGCATGAAAAGAGAGCCAAGCATACCTTGTGACTACAAGTGCACGTGCGAGCCATGGCTACAATCGATAGTGTACCCGCGAAGACTCAAAGTGGCCCAGTGTCCAAGTATCCCTTTTCAGCTTCTTTTCGAGTTGACTGGACAAAGCTGCAAGAAGCAGGTTGAAAGGTGGCACGAGGCAAATTTCCGCCCATTAAATCATTACAGAAAAGGACAAATATGTGCTTCGTCGGGGAAAAAACATTTCGACACGAGTATGTTGGGCAAGCAAAGAGCTGTCCATGACTTCCAGCAGTCCGTCTTCCGCGCCTCTCCAGCTGATTCACTTGCACTTGACGCCGAGTACCTCGAAGGAGCACCCACGCCGAAAGGATTGTTTTGAGCAAGGACATATTTACACGCAAGGCCGGCCGTTTGACAATTCATGGTTCTGAGCACTGCAAAGCATGAAGAACTGCAAACAAAACATACTTATGCTTGTCATGATGAGCGTTTGCATTCCAGCGACTGGATGCTGTGTCACGAGAGGATGACGGCCGAGCGGGAACCCCCTTGCGTCTTGAAATGGTTGACCTTGGCAGTCACGCCTCACTTGTCGCACAGGTTAGCCGAATTGCACTTGTGTTAATTCACTGACTGTGGATGGCCGATCGACATCGCAAGGGAGAATCGAGAGGACTTGCATGCTGTAAAGAGTGCCGAAGGTTTTCTTTCTGGTCGGACAATGTGGAGTGTGGGCGGATGTTGCCCTTCCCTCGCCGGGCCACTGAGCCGCAGCACAGCCATGTGAGCACACCTTCCATTATGCAGGCATTCTTAATCCATCTCAGACAAGACTGCCGGTGAACCTGGGTTATGAATAGCAAAATTACGTTATTCTAATAACCGTACCTCCCGCAACCGAAGGTGCTTTCGCTGACAGCATGCCTGACGGATGCTGGTTGCTATCCGTCAAGGGGGCATCGTTTAAATAGCTTACATGCCTCATCATGTCCCAGAATGAAAAGAAATGGTCTCTCGACATACTCACATGTCAGTTGGTCGGTCAGTCAAGGCAGTCAATCAGGAAGTCAGCAAGTCAGCCAGTCTGTCTGTCAGCCAGTCTGCGTCTGCCTGTCTACTTGTTCGTCTGTCTGTCTGCCTGCCTGCCTGCCGGGCTCTGGCTCTGGCTCTCTGGCTCTCGCTGTGTCTAGGTTGTTTTCTCTCTCTTGGTCTCTCTCGGTCTCTCTCGGTCTCTCTCTCTCTCTCTCAGTGTTTCTCTGTTTATCTGTCTCTATGCCTTTGTCTCCGTGCTCTCTGTGTGGGTGGGCGTCGGTGTCTGTTTTGCTGTCTGCTTTCCGGCCTGGCTGTCCATCCGTGTGTCAGTCCGCCTGTCCTCTCTCTCTCAATATATATATATATACACACATACGTCTCTGTCGGTTCTCAAGCATGCGTACGCATATTTGTTGGCGAGGCGATGCAAAACTGAATGCCGGTAACATGTTGAACTGCATGGCGCACTGCCCACACGGATGGACAGGATTTTGGACCTGACCACGCCAATCGCAACGACAGGGAAGGCCGGGGCTCACAACAGTATTGCGTGAATGGCCGGATGTATTTTCACGCAGTTGCGGTGATCAACAAGAACAGGAAAAAGGAAAAACGCAAAGGGTGCGTGACCTTACCTTCTGTGTTGAAGCGCCTCAGCCAAATGGTCACGCAGAGAAGAAACACACTCACACACACACACACACTGCGGCAGTGAGGAAGATTCCACTGACGTTCAACATATCGGAAGCAAATATGGCTATGAACTTTAGTAGGGAACCACCTCAAAAGTGGTTGATGGACAAATGATGTCTACCAAAGGGTCCCCTATTGAAATTCACACCCATATGTTGTAAATGGAGGCAACCCTGTGTGGCCCAAAACCAACTCGAGCGGAGGAAGCCCCAAAAAAGGCAGGGTGTGATGTCTACTAGCGTGTGTCGTGCTGGACAAGCACGAAATCCGAAATCCCGATCCATCCAAGTACTGCGAACCACGGCCGGGTGTTCAAGCCAAGGGGTGGGTCAAACGAGGATTTGTTTACAACAAAAAGGCAGCTGTGCCAATCTTTACAATGTAGTCCATCCTGTTCATGCTCTGACATGTCCGGCAAGTGCTATGATTCCAAGAGAATGCGTCAAGCTCGAGGATAGGAATTCAAACAAATGCGAAGCCGGTCTCGACATACAGTCGTGGACAGATTCCCAGGGTTTCCATCAGACATGATCATGACATGAGCCCTGGACCAAATTACTGTTTTCCAAGAGGAGAGGAGAAAATTTCAGGAAGCGCTACAAGCAAGAAACGCTTGAAGCATACAATAAAATGCACGAACAAGAAATTAGCAGACTCCTTGTATTGCTCAATGATATTGAAATCAAAAAACGCAGGACAAAATACCAGCTGCTCAGAATGCCAAGCACCTACAAAAACAAAAAACAACTGACAGAGTCTATACTTCTTCTGGTTCTGCCCTCATGTCCTCCTGAAACGAACAACATACTACAGGCGGGTTTTTGCCAATGACCCACTTGGCTCCCCAGACTCAGGCTGAGTAATGCCGCTGTGACGGAGCACCTGAAGCAGAGCCAGCTTCAACCGGCCCAGTTGAGCTGTGCCTTTCGTGGTGCTATAAGTGGGGAATGAGAAATGGAGTGAACCCATCCCCTTGGAGGAAACCAGAAAAGGGATGGTTTTTATCGGCATCATTGCCCACTTTCCCTTGAGCACCAGCAAGCTTTCTCAAGGCGTCTGGCTCGAACCCGCGTCCAGAAACCGGCTGAAAAGCGCGCCCAAAATGGCGAGTTCCACAAGCCAGCACTTGCACTTGCTCAACCCCCCCCCCCCGAGTCCGTGGCCAGCCAAATAGTTCATGCCCAAATTGGCCCTTACGCATGAGCTGTTGGGAATCCTCCAGAGAGGTTGCCACACAATTGCGACCCTCCCGGCCTCTAACTCCATGGCTGGACGCGTTGAATCTCTTTCTTTCACGATCGATACGAGTCAATAGGCGCACTGCGTTGAACTGTAACATGTCTGTCCTTTGCCCCTGCTCCTGTGAACCATAGGCAGTGCGTGCGGCTCCAATGTGCCATGGTCCAAGCTTCCTGGATGGTCACGGCTCCCTTAATCGAAACCGTGACCGTGATTGCCCAATTTCCTGTTGGCTTGCTGACGACCATTCCTACCAACCTCAAGGTGAGTTTTGACCAAGGCACACCTACTGTCCAGAAAAGCTAGATACCCAACTTCCACTAAAACTCAGTTGCCCAAAGGACCTGGAACTAAAAGGTTAACCTTTTGGGGCCATGACTAAATATGGACCAAATTGGGAAAGCCAAAAGGTCAAAAGGTCGGCTTTGAACAACTGAGAAAACGAGCTGATATGTGACCATCACAAGTCCTCCCCCTGTGTTTAGGACGGGCTTATGCTCGGGTCAACATTATCCAGTCTGGCAAGGGGCCCCTGAAAGAAGACGCCTTTCAACCAGCTTTGATATGTTTGGAAGAAACGAAAGACAAAAACACATGCGGGGCCAAGCAGCAAGCATGTGGGGCGAGAGCATGGGAGATCGTCACTCGTGGCCATGGGTCAAAATCCCGGTTAGCCCCCAGTGAACATCCCAATCCAACCACTAAAATAGATTCTAAAATGGGTGGTGCACTTACCCGAAAATGGTACCATTGGTTTTGACCCATCCTCATCAGTAAGGTGCTCCCTTCTACAAGCAAACAGTGTTTTTCAAATGACTCTGGGCTCCTCTGCCGTTGTCGGCACTGGACTGAAAAACGAGCACGTCCTGCGCTTCTGGCAGCAAGTTGCCAACATGCGGCTGGCACTGGAAAAAACTGAGCATTCCCTTGTCTCCCAACCCTCGCTCCGAGCAATCTCTGCAATTCTCAAGTTCTCAAGTTGCCAACTTGCCATGATGCAGCATACGGGGTACGCCCACGCAAAACACAGCACAACAGGTTACCTGACTTCAAAGCACACGCGCACCCAAACACACACACACACACTCACACACTCACTCACTCACTCACTCACTCACTCACTCACTCACTCACTCACTCACTCACTCACTCACTCACTCACTCACTCACTCACTCACTCACTCACTCACTCACTCACTCACTCACTCACTCACTCACTCACTCACTCACTCACTCACTCACTCACTCACTCACTCACTCACTCACTCACTCACTCACTCACTCACTCACTCACTCACTCACTCACTCACTCACTCACTCACTCACTCACTCACTCACTCACTCACTCACTCACTCACTCACTCACTCACTCACTCACTCACTCACTCACTCACTCACTCACTCACTCACTCACTCACTCACTCACTCACTCACTCACTCACTCACTCACTCACTCACTCACACTCACACTCACACTCACACACACACAAGCATCAATGACATTGTGATGCCCTCTCCGAGACAGATTCTCCAGCCCCCCAGTGACATTGGCAAAACATGTGATTGATTCTGATTCAGGCAGCATCCCTCGTGCTCCGCTCTCAGCTTTTGCTTCATTGGCTACGCAATCTGCACCGGACTCCGGTCCGGAAGCCACCAGCTGGTTGTCGTGACAGTCGCATGAAAGCAGATGGCAAATAGCACATGTTTGTTCAATGCCGTTAGAGGAAGCTTCCCCATTCTTTCCAGTGATCCTTCTTTTCAGGAAAGCATCAAAAACCCGAGGAAACAAGCGGCTTTCGAAAAGAACGATGGTTGAAAATGGGGAACCAACCCCTAGACATGTACTAACCGGACATTTTGGCCATCTACTTTCACCTGGAGGTGGCCTGAACGTTTGGAAGCGAGCTAGTTTCGCATGCCGACCGCGCGCTCTACCTTGCCCTTTGGCTCAGAAGCTGTCCTTGCGGCTCAGCTCGCGGTTGCCGAGCCTGGCAAAATCCGGCGCCGGTGGCGAGCAAACGCCAGGCACCAGGTGACAAAGATGGCCTTTTCACTCTCAAATGTGCCAAGCCAAGGATTCCTTACCAGGCAAGTGTCTCCAGTGAAGTCACCTGAAACAAGTACGTAGTTTGCTCGAAGCCAGCATCTTTCAACGGGAGTCTCCGGCCTGATGGATCATGGCGCTCACCCAGAGAGAAGGGTGCAAACAGTTGCAATGAATTGAAGCGGGGGTTCGGCTCCGGACAGGCAGGCAATGCGAACGCTGTCGACACGGGGCATTTTTGTTGCATCGTCCAGCCTCCGAACTGACTCGCGGCGCACACACATCCCCGGCCTCAACAGGCCCGCCAGCGCCTGGCCAGGATGGCCAGGCCTCTCCTCCTGAGGCAACGCTTTTTGGCCAGGCAACGGTTTTTCATAGGGGCTGGGGGGGAGGGAGGGGGAAGGAAGCCCAATAAGCCCCAATTAAGGCCTTATTAGGGGCTTGTTTTGGGCTCCCTCCCCCTCCCCTCCCTCCCCCCCAGCCCCCATGAGTTTTGGCAAAGCACAAGCATCGGTTGAATTTGTAGAAACTCAAATGCGGGCGTTGCGACAAACTCGTAACTAGCATTGGTCAAACCATTTGCCAGTGTGCGTCGGCACTCAGAAACTCAACCTGACCGCCAGCCAAGAATGTGTCCCAGCGCCTCCTGGTACTCCGCTTGCTCGTCAGCCTGCGCGTAGCAACTGAGTCTTCAAATCTAACATGCGACATGCGACATGCGAACGAGGTACCCAGCCCCCATGCAAACATGTGTTTTGAGCATTGTAATCCGTATGTTTGATACAAACCAAGCTGGAACTTGTCCCAGAGGACAATTGCTAAAGTTCTCCTTGACCCGGACCATCGGACCAGTGGTATTCCGTCGGGAATCACACCGGATCACAACTTCATCAACTGCTCGAGATTTATGATGGTGACCCCTGACTTGTAAACCCCCTAAATCAAGACCGTCCTCTTCCCCCAATTGCCAGCAAATACTACTTTACTGTTTCAGTTTGGCACACAACAAACCCCCCTTTACAAAGACTCCCCTTGGCCCCCGAAAACCGAAACATGAAAAAATGTAAGAGCTACTGCCCAGATGCCTTGCAATACAACCTCCAAGGATCTCCAAGGTTCTTCTTCTTAGAATTTGTTTAAAAAAGCTCAAGGCTTGACAACCCCCCGCCTTGGCCGGTGGCCCCCAATACTAAAAAAACCTTGATAATCCTGGCACTCTCCGGCGATAAAATGCTTCCTTTCACTTTCCTGTCCTGTTGGCCAGGACTGGAGAGGACCGGAGAGGAGCGGAGACGGAGCAAAGACGATCGGGTTACTAGGGATGCAGCAGGACGCTCCCAAAACTGTGTATCTCTTCTTTTTTCGCACCTTTGTCGACCTTTGGGGGCTTTTAGCCAAGGACCTTTGGGGGGTTTATTCAGCGACAAACATTACCTCACAGCCAGCAAGACTCTAGCCGTACCACTTCGGTGTCTGAGGAGCTGCCAGGAACGACACAGAGCGATGAATCACCCGCCGCGCGGTTTGCCCCGACTTTTTCCCGCGCTCGTCCCGTCTCCGCGAGCTGTCCGGAGAGCGAGGGCGTCACCTTCCACATTCTGCGGGAAATGGCGGTGGCTCAATAACATGGCTGTGGATCAAACATAGGTGCCCAAAACGGAACCCTGGCAAATGGAAACTTGGACTACAATGTGCGGTCCTGTGGTGGTGTAATCTTGACCCACTCCCACATTTACCCAAATGGCACCTTGGTAAATGGAACCAAGGACGAAAACCTGCGCAACCCCAGCTATTTACTTCTGAGCCTCACCCAAACGAGCAACAGCTGATCATGGCTTCTTGGCGTGCGTCCCGAATGATTCGAGTGCTTTGGGGGCTAAATCAATAAGCGACCATTTGTCCACAGCGCCGACAAGCAAAGAAAACGGTTTGTGGCATCTTGTGGCACAACAAGTGTGGAGGGCAAAACTCCTGCCAAACATGGAAAGTGCCTTCACAATCCTTTGTGCTAATCTCCTGGGTTATTGACAGTGAGTTTTCTCATCACAAATACAGGATGATATTCATGGCAATCACTCACAAAATATATTGCATGCACTAAATGGACTAGAAGGATCCTATGACCATGGCTTGAACTGCCTTGTGTCATTGTGTAATCAACTCCAAGACTCGTTTGACAAGGAACATCAATGCGTCCTTTGGCTCCCAGTCAGAAGCCAAAAAAAACATGGTTCGTGTATCCCTAAAGTGCGAGGTTGCCATACGTTCCTCCCTTGGATGAACACGCATGATGCAACCCGCTTGCCCACTTACCTGCTTGCCCTGATCCATGGCTTGATCACTTGCCTTTTTGCATGAATTGCCTGTGAGCTTCAGAATGAAGTGCAATAAACCCGATTCCAAGGGGGTATGGTTGGACATGCTGTTTAAAGTTTCCGGATCAGCTCTCAAGCTGGACCAAGGCACATGCGCTTCAGGAGTTCAGGGCTAGTTGCATTGCATAGCCCATGGTCCCATGCTGCTTTAAGCCAATTTGTGGTACAGTACATAGCATGTGGCACTCGTCAAGAAACAATTTAATAAAGCTTCGACGTTGCTGTCTGCATATCAACATGGAAGCAAGCAGGGCAAATGATGTCCATGTTTTAGGCATTCTAGAAAAATCCAAGACAGCCACAAGCGCGTTGGGCAAAACATCACCCCCACCAAGACGCCTGTTGGGACGTTTGTCACTTTTGTCCAGCTATGAGAAGCTCTGTGGCTCACCTAGTTGCGGAAGCAGAAGACTTGCTGGTGCTCAGCAGGGAATGAGGGATCCCCTTAAAGGACACCACAAGGGATGGTTTGCAGGGGTCCTTCCCTCATTCCCTGCTGAGCACCAGCAAGAAGATGGTTTGGCTTTCCTCCTCTTGCATGAGCGCAAGCCGAGTGTCAGAGCACCAAAATGAGGAAATGGTTTGGCCGAATACGGTCACCAGCAACAGAAGAATAGCTCCAACTGGTCCGACACGGAGACTGCAAGCTCTAAACAGCCTCACATCGAGCCAGTACTATCCGCGGACGAAGCACAACATTGCCTGACCTCACAGACGCTTCTTTGATAGGGTGAGGCGGAAAAGATATGGATTCGGGGATCTGTGTTCAACAAGCCTCAGTTCCAGCATGCACGGCTGAGCTTGGTTGCTGGGCAACTCCATCACGCGTGTTCACTTGGCCAATGTGAATGTCCCAACTACAAAAGCTGGTCCAGCTTACGTTCTCCTCCAAGTTGGCAAGCAGTGGAACTACTGCAGTTGAAGCAGTCAGTTCAACCATCATTTCGGAAAAGCCTTTGTCGAAAATGCATTGGTGGTTTGGGGCTTTGAAGCCCCGGCTTTTGTGGAGGGTCACTGTGAAATCACCCCATTAACCTCCAAACCACCAATCCAAACCACCAGGCTAAAAACCAACCGGCTGGCTTCAGCCGCGTCGCTCGCCCTCCTTGGGATCTTCTCCCTCCTTCTCCTTTGACTCTTCGGCCTGCCAAGGATCTCGGAAGAATTTCCATTTAGAACAGGGCACCTTATTTGGGTCAGGCAGACAAGCAGGTGCCGTGAAAAACTAGACGACAAATGATCTAAGCAGGCAATTTAGCTCGAAAAGAACATAGGGTTGTAATGCTCAATGCCTTTCTGATTCGCTGACAGGAACTATGGAGCAAAAATCCTTTGGCAATGGTCAGCATGCATGTGTGCGTGGGTGTGCGCTTATATTTGTCAGCATGAAAGCAGGGCCGGCCGGTTCACAACTTCCCGAAGGACAAACGTTAGGATGTAGCATCGGTGTGGGATCACCCCTCGCAAGGGGTCAGCGCTTCAAGGTCAGTCGCATCACCTCCAAGAGCAAATGTAGCAGTTCCCAGTTTTTCAGTCCAGGCACTTCCTCCATCGCATGTTTTACTCATAAGTGTGTACTCCCATTATAGCTGAATGTGGTTCTACAGCGCCCATAATTTACTCCCATGATGGCTAAATTTGGTTTTACAGCACCCCTTAAGCCTGTAACGCTGGTGCGCACTAGGGCATGACCGAGACCGGGTGTTGGGAATGACCCGGTTCGAATAAAGGAAACCAAATCGGATGGATGTGTTTGTTTTCTTTTTTGTCGGGGTCATTCCATTGTTCATTCCCTGCTAATTACTCAGTAATATTTACCCCCACTATAACTGAGTGTGGTTTTACAGCACCCATAATTTACTCCCACCAGTAATTTGGTTTTACAGCACCCCTCAGCACTAGAACAAACAACAGAATAGCGCAAGTGACATGTTCCATTACTCAAATATGTTTCACGTCCACGGCACCAAATACTGTTCATTGCTCAAATACTGACTGAATTTGGTTTTGCAGCCACAGCACCCCTCAGCTACTAGGTCCTCCAGATTTGAGAGGTTAGAATAAGTTGGTATCAACTTGTTTCTGTAGTCTATTTTAGTAGGGAACCCTCCCCCCCAAAAAATGGTAAAGGGGCACTACTGGGAGACCTAGGCACCTTTAGAAACCCCGTGTGGCTTGCTGAACCAAACCTTCCGCCCGGAGCTGTCCTGACCTTAGAGAACCCTCCCAACCCAAAAAGAAACGGCAAAAAAGTCAATAGTCACTAGTCTATTTTAGTAGGGGAACGATACCCTTTTGTCTGTAGTCTATTAGGGGAACCCCAAAAAGGGGTGAACACGGGCACCTGACTGGGGGACCTCTCGGCTGGGCTGCCTTCTCGTCCTTCTCCCCACGGAAGGCCGCAGCCGTGGCCGCCAGCGCCTCTGCCTCCGCAGCCCTGGCGCTGGCGCTCGCTCCGCGACCGGGCGACGACAAATCGGCGGCTCCGAGCGGCGGTTTGGTTTGTTGGAAGCCATGTGCACGACTTGATCAGGGTCTTACCTTCCTGTAAGACTTGCGCTTAGTCCATCAAGTCACAAAACAACTTGCACAATTGGGTATGGGTCAAAATTATGCCACCAGGTTCTACCATGTTGGGTACCTAATTTTGACCCACAGCCATGTGGCCGCGGGTCAAAAATCGGGTAAACCTAAATTGAGACCTTGGTAAATGGAACCAAGGACTCAAACCTGCGGTCCCCTGGTGGCATAATTTTGACCCATACCCATGTGAACTTGCGTTTGGATTCCTAGCGATCAAAGTATCAGGTGTCAGAGCTCACAAGACCTCTGGGTTCTTCCCTCAAATCTACCTCCTGTCAGAGGGTTCCGGCTTCTTGCCCTGAACGAAAAAAAATACCAAGAGCCAGCTGGCTCCACCCAAAGCTGATCAGCATGTTAGATCAGCTTCCCTCGAGTTGGTTTGGAGCCCGGTGGTTTGGTGGTGCAGGAGAGGTTTCCCGTTTATCGTTTACAAAAGCCAGAGGTTCAAATCACCAATCCAAACCACCAATTGAGGGTTACTTCTTTCCCTGAACAAAAAAGGTGTAGGACATGGCATCCTGACCATGAGCCCTACAAAAAACAAGGTAAACACATCCTTCACCCAGGCCTTTTGCCTACCTTGACCTGGCATTTCGGGCCGTCGAGAGCGCCTATCTGGATTGGCCCCCCGCCGCAGCGCCGCAGCGCGGGCTTCGAGCTCCGCATCCTGGCGATGGAATCCCGCAGTGGACGTTCGCTTGGCCCTAACAGA